TCCTGCACCACTACCACTGGAGCAAGCCTGTGCCTCCTGCCGGAAGACAGGAAGTGGGGTCCTGATGCCCTGCGCCCCCAAACACCCAGAGCCAGGCACCGCCAGCTCCTTCAGCAGCCGGCGCACACGTCCCCGAGCGCACATGCCGCCCGTCCCCAGTCAGCCTCCGAGCCCCTGGAAATGAGATTTCTGAAAATGTCCTCAGGACCCGCGGAGAATGAGAGTTGAGGGCGAGACGGGGAAATTGAATAGTATGTGGGTGTCTGGATATGAGAAGTTAAATCTAATGAAAATGTTATCCAGTTGAACCAAGAAATCAGAAGCAGGGCCTTTATTCCTGTCAACAAGAATACAGTGAAAATTAAACCAACGCCGCTGCCATTTCCCACTGACCTTGTTGCCATGGAGACAGCCTTCCCGTGTCAACAACCCGGAGGAATCCAATTGGGCTCATTCATGCATTGAGAGGCACGTGCGCTCCCCTCCCTCCCGCCTCCGTCTCACGGTCCCTAAATAGGGTGACCACGCGTCCCGGTCGCCGGGGAGCGTCCCCGTTTACACCGTTGTCCAGCCATGACCATGGCGCCCTGTCTGTCTCCAAGGTGACCTGTCTGGGCAGCATGTTGAAAGGGCACCCTTTTCGCCTGGCCAGTTTGGCTCAGTGGACAGAGCATCGGCCTGCGGACCAAAGGGTCCCGGGTTCGATTCCAGTCAAGGGCACGTACCTCGGTGGCAGGCTCCTCCCCAGCCCGGGCCCTGGCCGGGGCTTATTCAGGAGGCAACCAATCAATGTGCTTCTCTCGCATCGATGTTTCTCTGTCTTTCCCTCTCTCTTCCACTCTCCCTAAAAATCAATGGAAAATATCCTCGGGTGAGGATTAACAACAACAACAAAAAAAGGTCACCTCTTCATGGGCCTCTCCTGCGTGCTCAGTGCATTGCAGGAGAACTGGCTGCACCCCGACTGACGGGGCGGGAGGAAGGGGCACCCACGGGCCCCTGTTGGAAGTTTCTTTGTCACCAGCGTGCCGCTTGTCACCTGCTCACACAGCACCGAGAAACCTGCCGTGACCAGAGGCCAAATGTCGTGGCCCAGGCTCCAGCCCTCCCGGTCCTCTGCTAGGAGTGACTGCCCTGGGGTGGGGCCATGTATGTCCTTGTCCTTGTCCGGTTCCTTCCCAACGTGTTGCCGGCCTGACGTTTCAGAGCAGAAAGGGTCTCTCCCTGGGGGCCCCGACCCTGGCGGCCTCAGATCTCCCATGCGCACCACTGAATCCCAGGCCCACTTCTCTGTATGTTTTTAAAGTCCCTTAGCGAACAGTGACGTGGTCAGTGAACCACGGAGAGGCACGCACCCATTTGGCAGATGAGGAAACCGGGGCCAAGAGGAATCAAAGGTCTTCCTTCCATCTTACGCATGGGGCCAGCCTGACACAGGCTCTCGGCGTTTCTGGGGCCCCGCCCCTTCCTCCCGCACAGCGAGCTCAGGCACTGAGCTGGGGTTCGCTCTGCCCCTCAGTCAAGTCCCACCACCGCTTAGGGTCGCGGCGTCAGGGGACAACCAAGAGGGACTGCCTCTGGGTCCCCATCTCTGACAAGGTGAGCCCCCTCCCCACCACAACCCCCAAACGCTGCTCCCCGAAAGCCCCAGCTCCTCTGGGAGGAGTCTTCCTCTGGGTTCTCTGTCTTTGATAGAAATTCCCCGTATGTGCTCCCGTCTCCGCTATGAGCGTGGCCAGGCCTCCAGGAACCCAGAGGCCCAGGTTCAGCCCTGAGCCTGGCTCCTGGCCCAGGCCCCCCTCCCTCTCGTGCTGGCTCCAGACCCTCCAGGGGCAGGTCACAGCAGGTCCCACCCTCTCCCCTGCACCCTGGGGGCCCAGCCGGGGTCCTCTCCCTGGTCTGGGTGGCCTGGCCAGCCCAGGGGCCCACGCTCTGGCCCAGCTGTCCAGCTGTCCTGACCCCGGGAAGGAAGGTCACGAGGGAGGAGCCAGGGTTCAGAGCCTGGCCCTTCTGAGACGGTGGCATCCTCCGTAGTCAGAGAGGCAGGACCCAGCAGGGTGGCGGTGGGCTGGGGTCAGCACCTGGCCCAGCCCAGGTTACTGGGGTTCCTACACCGTCACCAGCACCCACCCCCC